CTGCTGCTGCAGGGGCAGGAGCTGCTGCTGGTGCGGCTGCGGGTGGGTCAGGGTCTGGTACCAACCGATTTGAAGATCATCTTGGTGCGTTACCGCAAGGTTGGGAGAGGCGCACTGATAATCTGGGACGAACGTACTACGTCGATCACAACACTCGTACTACCACATGGCACCGTCCACCCGGATCCACCACACCCGCCTCAACCGCCGCAGAGAACCAACAGACCACGGATATGGAGCGTCGTCGGCACAACAACCGAACTCTTCCTGGAACAGATGGTGCCGCAACTCCCACCGCCACTACACCCACACCCACACCTGCATCAGCAACCACACCTTCCACAACCGCTGCCGCTGGAGCCACGAATGCCAACCTCGGGCCTCTACCAAGTGGATGGGAACAGCGGACAACACCGGAAGGCCGACCCTATTTCGTCGACCATAATACCCGCACTACGACGTGGATTGACCCGCGTCGCGTGCAACAGCAAAACCGTGGCCAGTTTGGACAGCAGCTCAGCGGCACGCAAGCCGCCACTCAACTCGCGCTTGCACAACAGCAGTCTATAGCTACGCTTGGACCGTTACCGTCTGGATGGGAGATGCGTATGACCAATACTGGCAGAATATACTTTGTGGATCACAATGCGAAGATCACGACGTGGGATGATCCGCGGTTGCCTGGTAGTGTTGAGTAAGTTTTGCGTATGCTTTTCGGTTTGCATCATCATGGACTGTTGCTGATGCGCGTTATTACTACAGTCAAAACGTCCCACAATACAAGCGTGATTTCCGCCGCAAGTTGGTGTACTTCCGGTCTCAGCCTGCTATGCGGCCGTTGCCTGGGCAATGTCATATTACGGTGCGGCGTAACAATATCTTTGAGGACGCGTATTCTGAGATTATGCGGTACCCTGCGAACGAGTTGAAGAAACGGTTGATGATCAAGTTCCATGGGGAGGATGGGTTGGATTATGGTGGTTTGTCGAGGTGGGTTGGTGTGATTAGTGTTTGCCATCGCTTCATTTGAACCACGGTACCGATCCATCCTACACAGAGAATTCTTCTTCCTCCTCTCACACGAAATGTTCAATCCCTTCTACTGTCTCTTCGAGTACTCCGCTCACGACAATTATACGTTGCAAATCAACCCCCACAGTTCCGTCAACCCTGAACATCTAAACTACTTTAAGTTTATTGGGAGGGTTGTAGGGCTTGCGATTTTCCATCAACGGTTTTTGGATGCGTTTTTCATTACCGCTCTGTATAAGATGATATTGAAGAAGAAGATTGTGATTAAGGATATGGAGAGTGTTGATGCGGAGTTGTTTAGGAGTTTGCAGTGGACTTTGTGAGTATTCGTCGTGGTTTTTTTTGGGTTGGGGGCGCGAGGTGTTTGGGGGTGGGGTTTGACGGATTTGCCGGATAATTGCTGATGTTGTTTTTGGTTTGTGATAGGGACAACGACATCAAGGACGTGCTTGATTTGACGTTTTCGGCGGAGGATGAGCGGTTTGGAGAGCGTGTGACGATTGATTTGAAGCCTGGGGGGAAGGATATTGTGGTTGATGATGAGAATAAGAAGGAATATGTTGAGTGAGTTTTTTGGTGGCGATGATGTTATTAGGGTTTGAGTGTGGTGTTGACCAAAGTTTTTTTTGTTTTTTGTGCAGATTGATCACGGAGTGGAGAATACATATCCGAGTCAAGGAACAATTTGAAGCGTTCCAGAATGGGTTCCATGAACTTGTTCCACCGGATTTGATCACTGTTTTTGATGAGAGGGAGTTGGAGGTACGTCATTCATCTTACCCGGCATCCCACATAACAACAAACCTTACACCTTCCCCAACCACACAGCTCCTAATCGGCGGCATAGCCGACATCGACGTGGACGACTGGAAGAAACATACCGACTACAGAGGGTATACGGAGAACGATGAAGTTGTGCAGTGGTTTTGGAAGGCGCTCCGGACGTGGGATGGGGAGAAGAAAGCGCGGCTTTTGCAGTTTGTTACGGGGACGAGTAGGATTCCGGTGAATGGGTTTAAGGATTTGCAGGGGAGTGATGGGCCACGGAGGTTTACGATTGAGAAGAGTGGGGAGGAGGGGATGTTGCCTAAGAGTCATACTTGGTGGGTTTTTGTTTGCGTTTGTTTGTCTCTGTTTTTTTTTGTTTTTTTGTGTAGGGGGGTGTCGGAGCGGTTG